GTATTTTGTACCCCTCGAATTGAAGATTTTGTACCCCTAAATTGCTTTGTACCCCAATGACCCCTAAATTTTTGTATTCTCCGAATTATTTGCCAACATGCTCATTGAGAATTGGCTCCACAAAGAATGGGATATGTTCGAAAAATTCGAAATTCCAAGATACAAATGGGTCAGCTTACGGATTCAATCCAGAAAACTCTGTAAATGCTAGAATCTTTGAAAATTCTTTCATAAAATCGAGCAGGTTCAGAATTTCATGAAATTCCATAATAACGAAAAATTAAAAAAAAAATCGAAGGTATTCTGAAATTAAAATGTTTCAGAAAATTCCAGAAATCCAGCCTATATGAAAAATTCAAATAACCAACATAAAAATAGTTATTTTTTAAATCTTTAAAATTCAGAGATTTTCAATTTCCCACTTCCTTTTGAATTCGAATTCAGAAACAAAAAAATAACAGAAATTCTTAAAAACTCACAACTTGTCCGATTCCCAAGACATTCGGATCTTTGGCTCAAATCAAGATTAAAGGGACAGAGATGCCAAAGAGATTTAGACATGAAAAGGTGAAAAGCTGAAAATTATTGAATTTTTGAATTTTCTGAAACTCCCTAATTTCATTATTGCAGAGTTTTGTACATTTTGAATTTTTGTGATACTGAAAATTCAATTTTTTCGAATTCATATATTTGGTTGAACAGAAAGTTTCTTTTTTGGCAACTTTTTTGGTCAAATTTTTCTCAAAGGAGAGAGGGCTAGAACAATGAAAGCAACGTCCATAGGCATCAATAGCTGTCTTCCAATGCTCCGGTAATTTCTTGATTCCATGGGACCAGAACGAGGAAGACTGCGATTGAAAAAGTGGGTCAACTCCTTTTTGGTGTCATCTTTTCAATTGAAGTATTTGCTATCAAGATGACGTTTAAAGGGGGACTCCNACCAAAAATTTTTATTGCATTAAAATGTATTAAAATTTATCTATTTTTCAAATATTATTGCAAAAAAATTCAAATAAAATCCGAAATCCCCCAAAAACGGCTTTNAAAACGAATAAAATTCAAAAAAA